GAGAGATACAGGTCTAGTTTTAATCTTTGGCAAGTTGAAGCCCAATTTTTCCAGCACCATTTATTAAAGAGGCCGTCTTTCCTCCAGTGAGGGTGTTTGGCTCCTTCGTTGAAGATTAGATGGCTGAGTGTGTCCACCGTTGTCCCTGCATCTTCTAATCTGTTCCACTGGTCCTCAAGTCTGTCTCCTTGCCAGTACCATGCTGTTTCCATCACAGTAGCTTTGTAGTATAGTTGCAGGTTGAGGATTGTGATACCCCCCTGCCATGTCTCTGTTACCCAGAACTGCTTTTGCCATTCTGGGTCTCTTCCTGTTCCAAACGAACCCTTGGATTGTTTTCTCGAGGCCTATGAAATATGCTTGGTCTGGTGGTCTGGTGTCCTCTGCGTCTTTGTAGTGTGGAACCAGGTGGCTGCCTGTCTGCAGCGGGCTGATTCGGCGTATTCCACGTGACTGGGGACCTCGGTAGGGCGTGGGCAAACCTGCCTGTCTCCAGCGGGCTGATTCGGTGTGTTCTGTGGGACTCAGGACCTCGGTAGGGCGTGCACAGACCTGCCTGTCTGCAGCGGACTGATCTGCCATGCATTTTTATGTGGTTTTTCAGATAGCATTTAATTTCATGAGAAACTTTGCAGTGTTTCAAATGATAATTTACTGTTTCTGTTTCCATCATGTGTAAGATGCTTATCTCTTTTGACCATTTATTCAATGGAATATGGTTACTATGTATTTCATATTTTAATAGATTTATACACATTATATAGGCTATTAAGTTTATCTCTGGTGGTATCTTTTATTTCACAAAAGTCAGGAATTTATCTTGCTCTCACATCTGGAATAAATAAGATGTGTGTTCCCCCCCCCCCCGCCTTTTTAAAACTATATAACCCGTTTGAACAGGATTGCAGCCCTCTGATAGGAATCAGTTCTCACTGTTCTGAACTGAAAGCCAGGTGAACACCCAGTTGTCCCAACAACATGTCTTAAACAGCACATCTTTCCACCATTGGTATTTACAATATTAAGTTCTTAAGGAGTTTAAATAATTTCCAGAATCTCTGTTTTCTTCTTTTGAATCATTTCTCAATTTATAACCTAAAATTAGGGCCAGGGATTTAGCTCAGTAGTTCCACCACCTGCCTCGAAAGCGCAAGGTCCTGAGTTCGATCTCCGGTACCAAAAAAAAAGATTAATATAACCTAAAATCGTACAAGTTGGGTAATTATTTTTAAAAAATACTGTTCTGGCCAATAAAATAAGAGATGGAATATAAACATTTGAATAGAAGAAATAAAATTATGTGTATGTGGCAATTGAAATTCTAGAAAGGTGAATTCAGTAAACTAAATGTATACAGCTTAGCAAAAAATCAGCATCTCTATGAATTAATAACAGGAAATATAACAAAAATAGAAACTATTTTTTAAGTATATAAATCACTCATATTTTTATCACTTCTGACCTTCTGACCTCATAGCTGAGGATACCAGTTTCATGTTTGTCGCCCTGTCAGTATTCTGCATACCATTACTACACTGTTCACTCTACAGTGCAGATACCTGATCGTGTCATTTAAATCCCATTTAATGCCATGGGCTCTCCATGCTTTTCAGGATCAAGCTCAAACTTCTTAGCTCAGTGTAGATCTTTTCTTTTGTTGAAGAAAAGATCCTTGTCTTTTTTGGGCTGCTTTTCCTTCTGGAGTCCACAGTTGTTTTTCCCAGAAGACATTCCAAGAGCCCTTCAGTCTGAACCAACATTTGTCTCTCACTTCTCATAGCACTTATCACTCTTATTAGTAACTGTTTGTTTTTTGCCCCCTAGCTTGTCCATTCCTTAATAAAACCAGGACTGTGTCCTTTTCTGTTTATTTTCCATTCTACTTATATGCCAGGGCTGTAATTTAAAAGCCTCTCACTTTACATTTAGACTTTAATGTCTCTGTTTTAGTGACAGTGTTCAGTTCTCTTTGTGATTAACCTTTGAAAACTAGATTTTTATACAAATCCTCAAGTCAGCCACCCTTTCTTCTCTTCTGTTGCTGCTGGAAAAAACTGGCTGTGATTTCAGAGCATATCTTTCCTTGCTATGAGCTCTTCAAAGAGAAGGTATCAAAAAAGACCAAGTGCATTA